CTTGGAAGGTCTGGTATCACCTGGATATTGAAAAGACTAAGGGAGAATCAAACTGCAAACAAGAAAGGGCATTAGAAAAAAATCAGATTTTCTTAATGTATGAGACAGAGTAAGGAAATCTGGAAGGAAACTGGCAATCTTTCAGTCCATCAGAGAGTAAAAGGGGCAATTAGGATGTTGCAGAGAAGAGAAATGATTTCTTTGTGTCTGTTTCCAATCCAGAGGTTGTCAGTGAAATACTTGTTCTGTGCTTGCTCATTGCATGTAATAAATCTGGGAATATTGTCAAAGAATTAGGCTAAACCCATACTTAAACATTTTGCTGGAATAACTGCGTCAGCAGAAGCCCATGTGCTTTTTATATTTTAGCAGCAAGAAGTCAGCATAATGCAAAAGACAGCTTATTCTTCTGGAGAGAGCGTGTTTACCCAAAATTAACAAAAACTGAAGTGTCAACAGAAGGTGTGTGTAATATCCCCATTGAGGCTGCACAGCCCCATGACTTCCAGGCTGAGTCAGGGAAGACCTGCAGGGTTGAATAGCTCCTTCCACATGGAAGTGCCCAAGGGCAAGTTGGATGGGGTTTGGAGCACCCTGGGATAGTGGAAGGTGTCCTTGCCCATTGCAGGAGGTGGGACTGGATGATCTTGAAGGTCCCTTCCCACCCAAACCATTCTGGGATTCTGTGATTGGCTTAAAGAGCAAGGAGCCAGCCTGGGAGTGACAGGAAGAGCCAGCCAGGAGAGCGTGGGCAGCACCCCATGGGTGCTGCCTCAGGGGGCTTCCCGTGATAGCCCTGGTCCTCTTGCTCCAGGGCTTGTGGTATGGACCTGGTGCTCTCCCAGGGGCTTGGATGTCCCTGGCACAGAGAACAGGATGGTGCACATTGGCTGTCCTTGAGTACAGATAAAGGACATGGCCATAGAATCACAGAATCATTAAGGGCAGGAAACACCTTTAAGGTCATCCAGTTCTACCATTAACCCAACACTGCCAAACCCATCACTAATCCATGTCCCCAACTGCCACATCCACATGTCTTTTAAATCTCTTCAGGGATGGTGACTTCACCACTTTACTGAGCAGATTGTTCCAATGTTTGACCACCCTTTCCATGAACACATTTTTCCTAATATTCAACTTAAACTTCCCGTGGTGCAACTTGATGCCATTTCCTCTTGTCCTGTCCCTGGGAATGACAGAGCTCCCCCCGGCTCTCCCCTCCTGTCAAGGAGATCTGCAGAGCCACAAGGTCCCCCCTGAGCCTCCTTTTCTCCAGGCTGAGCCCCTTTCCCAGCTCCCTCAGCCTCTTCTGGGGCTTCAGAGCCTTCCCCAGCTCTGTTGCCCAGCTCTGGACACACAAAGAAGGTCCAGGAGCCAAGGATCTGATTTTTCATTGTGGGCACTGCTAATGTCCCTTTTAGAACATCCCAGGCCAAGCTTCATCCCATACAGTGGATTGTGAGATCCAGGGATCCGTTCAGAACATACACCTGTAATGCCTATTCCGGGTCCTTAGAGGACATTTTTGGATGTTCTTATGCAAACCACATCAACAACCCCCAAGAAAGAGCAGACAAGGGCCCAGGACTGTGTCCCAGCCACGGTTTGTACGTGCTGGCTGTGCTGCCAAGTGCTCTGCTTTGGGACAACCTCGCCTACTGAGTATTTCCTAGCACCTCTCTCTGAGGTGTTTTTCTGGAGAAGTCACAGGAGGGCAGAAAAAGTGATGCTGGAAAAATAGGATGAACTGAAGAGCAAGAGGTCTTTAGGATTATACTTCCACGTACTTTGGGGAAAATTTGCTATGAAGTATTAAGCAATTGGAAATACATCTGTTAGTTGCATTAAAAGCATGTGACAAACCAAAGGCCTGGAGTACACCTGGGTAATGGTGTACCCTGCTATGGAAGAGTAGAGGAGTATCAGCAATAGCAGCTGTCTTATCTGGCCCTGAGTCCAACTGGCAGCACCTGGCCACCAGGATAAACTCTTTCACCCTCCAGAACAGGGACCTCGTAGTCCAACCACCCAGCAGAAGAGGTCAGAATTGTGCCCCGACATGATGTGGGAGAGCATTCATTAGCCTTGGCCAAAACTAGAGCTGGGACCACACTAAAAATTTAAAAATGTGGGCAACGCTTGTCCCTGTGCCCTGATCTTGATGTAGATGTCACTGTTGGATCAGACCAAGCTCCAAGCAGTCCAACAGACAACCTTCTGCGATGCCCACACGCCCAGGGGGCAGTTTGCAATAAGCAAGTCTCCACCCAGGAGGAATTCGTGACTGTGGATCTGTCTCACGTCCTGCAGCATTGCGCAAAAACAGGAAAGCTGTGCAGTCACTGTGGCTAAAAGTAAATTCATGATGAGCTAATATGTTTTGCTCTAATAGTAACGTAGTGATGTCTGGTGCTAGCTCAATAGCCAAAAATGACTGGTGATAGTTACACCCTGTGCTTTGCACAGAACAATAAATAAATGATCCAACAAGCCTTGCTCAGCTTGTCCCGTTTCTTCGTTAAGGTGCAGGCAGGAGTGCCAGTCCCAAGCTCCTAGAGCCAGGAGTTGTCATGTTTTAGGCTGAGACTTCCAGCATCCTCCATTTATCACTGTCCTGAGTAGTTTTCAAAAATCTCAGCCATGAAGCAACTATCCCAAGTGAATGCGACAGAAATAGTTGTGCTGGTAAAGGCTCAGCTTGAGTCCTGTGTGATCACTGTCTACAGCCAAAGAGCTGCAGACATGCCGGGGAGAGTCCTCCAAGGTGCATCAAAGGCCACAGAACGTGTTGGGGACAGCTTATGTTCCCCAGGGCTGCTGTTGAGTGACCTGGTGAAAGTAGAGAGGCAGCTTTGAATTCCTTCAAAGAGCACCAGGTCCGTCCATCAAGAACAGCGTGATGGGATCCCACCTTTCCCACAAGGCAGAGTTTGTATTAGGTTGAGGCTGCCCTATCTCTGGAAACGTTGAACGTCAGGTTGGATGGGGCTTGGAGCAACCTGGGATGGTGGAAGATGTCCCTGCCCGTGGCAGGGGGTTGGACCTGGGTGATATTTATAGTTCCTTCTAATCCAAACTATTCTATAAAAGAGCAGCAAGGACCTGCTAAACCTTTCCCTCTTTGGTTTCCAGCTACAGAGTGCTTCCCAAAGGAGCCAGGCAGGATCTGGCCCAGCGTGAATGATATGGCTTTCGGCTAGCGCTTTTCACCTGTGGCTCTCAAAGCATTTGGCAAGGGGCTCCCCTCACTTCCCAGTAATTGCAATAATTGCAGTAATGCACATAATGATTCAGAGGTTTTATCATTCCATACCTTTGTGCAAAGGACGTGGCACAAACCCACCCACCTGCAACTCAAAATAATCTCCCCTCGTTAAGGTTGCAGTCATGAGTTAATTGCAGGAAAGAAAATGCAAAAGACTCCAGATGCAGTCCCAAGAAATTGTTGCTGTCATTCATCCAGCTGGCCAAAATGTGATGATCAGGATCAGTTACTCAGCAACTGACCTGGCACTGGGCTCCTTTGATTTAAGGTCCCGTAGACTCACTTGAACTTGTAGGCAGAAATAAGTTCTTCTAAGGACAGCTAGTCCCCTCTTGGAAATCTAGCACTTCTTGTGAATCCTAGAATTCCTTTGAATTGGAAAGGTGGAGTTTTTTCCACAGGGGAGCTGACTGCTTGTGAATCAGACTTCTGAAGAAAAAAATAATTTGGTGATAATTTAAGATTTCGCTAATGCACAGGACAATCTTTTGGCAACGGTGTGATGCAAGCTTGATGTTTTCAGGTTATAAACCTCAAGCAAATAAAAAGAGAGAGAAAGATGGCTTCGGAAAAGTTCCATTGGGCTGTAAGTCAGAGGCTGTTCCACAACATTTTATCTCTGAAATGTCATGCTGTACTGGCCTCAAAGCAAGAAGAACAGACGGTTCATCTAATACAATTATTTTAGGATCCTTTCATCATAAACAGTGTGCATGCCAAAATGAAAACGTATCATGGGAAAGCATTTCTCATTGAAGACTGAATCTCCTCCCTAATGTTTATTCTATGTCATGGAGAACACTAGGGGCCAAATACACTCTGGGTTAAAAACACTGGCATCAGTTCTTGCAACACAAACTTGGCAGGGATTCAGGATGTGACAGCTGAAGGAGGCTGCAGCCTCTCTTGTACCAACAAACCAGTTGGTGCCCAGTGCTGGTGAGTGAGGAAGAGGGAGGATGAAGAGAAATCTGGAGCACACTGTGGAGGTTTGCTCCCTTCTGGAGCTGCCTGGCACCCTGGATCCTGGCCATGCTGTCCCAAGAGCCTGCAAGGTGCAGAGTAGGTGGATAGCAGCAACATCCTGCTCCTGTCTTGATATAAATCCCTGCATGGTGGTGAATGTACCTCTTGGCAACAGCTCCTTGAATGCCATCCTGGGTGGCAAATCAATCTCTTCTTCATCTTTAAGAACATTCTGAAATCTTTTTCTTGGGAGAAAAAGAAAAAACAACTTTGGTTGCTGTTAGTTAAGTTGGGATACTGCAAAATTTTCTCAACGTGTTCCCATTTAGTGGATTATTTGGGCTGTTTCTTTGTTCCCACACTCTGGGCTGTTGTCTTTCTTCTTGCCAACACAATCCATACATTTAACAACAGTGACACTGCACTTCATTGTATTTAAATTCACCTTATTTCCTTGGCTTTCTCCTGCCATGAGCCTGGAACTTCCACGTCATCTTCAAGTTTATCAGTGATGATTATTATCATTTCCTCTGGGTCAATCCCAAAGACACTGAACAAGCCAGGGTCCAAAATAAATAAATGGAAGACTTCAATATCTCTAGTCTAATTGAATTTCAAATTGCATTATAAGATCTCTTGCTGAAATAGTTTTTAATCCATTTAGTATCCCAGATTAGGTTTTGTACCGTTTTCCTTTAATTGGGACTGTGTTCAGGAACTGTTCAATAACTTGCAGAAATCTAAGTAATTTATAACAGGCTTATCTTTATTAACCAAACTTACATTCTCATTAAAAAAACATTCATTTGTTTGACATGACAGACTTTCCATAAAACTGTTCAGGCATATCAATCAGGTTAGCATCCTTTAATTCATTACTAATCACAGCCTGTATCAGATTTTCTTTGATGCTGTTTGGGATCAGGTTTAAACCAATGAATTTGTAATTACCTGTGATTTTCCTATTATACAGTCTTTGGATTCTGCAAAGTCTTTGGATTCTCCTTACAAATTTATGCAGAACAGAACCAACACACTCAGGCAGCTTTATAATTTTGTTGGCAATCAGCTGGAATGAGCAGGACAGCAACAGGACTGCCCCAGACCCACTCATACAGGATTTCAGCATCACAGAGATTTGGGGAGGGAAAGACCTTCAGGAATCTCCAGGCTCCTCTCTCACATCCTTCCATCAGATTTCCCAGAGCCCTTCCCAGGGAAGTTTTGCAAGGATGGAGATCCCAAAAGCTCTCTGGACTCCTGTTCTAGTAATTAACTATTTTAGTTGTATTTTTCCCCCTCCTAATATCTAATTTTATCATCCTTTTCTGCCCCTTGGGTTGATTTTCTCTCGTCCCATCACTCTGCACCTTCAAGCAAAATCTGGTGTTGTCTTTTCAATAATCTCCTATAGGCAGTTAATGACAGCAAAAAGCCTCGTTACCTTAATAACCTCTACACTTCTGGGTCCCACCAAGTGCTCTCTGTGGGCCCAGGGCTGCCTCCACTGTGGAGAAATGTTCAGCTTCACCAGTAGCCCCTCTAATGTGGAACAGACTGCTCAGACATCGAGAACTGCTTGTTTAATGCTCTCTGCCAAAATAGAAGTGGGCAGATATATCCACTGAGCTTAAATGCTACCTCAGTCCTTGGACCTGCTCAGTGGAGAGTGCCCATGAGCCTGGAGAGCCTAAGGAAAGCCTTGAGCAAGAGTCAGCTGTGTGCAGTTAATGAGAAAGAAGAGGCAGGTGGATCTACATGGAACTGTAGGTCTCTATGACCTTGTAGGTTTGTGTTCTTCCTTGTTTAGAGATGTAATCATTTTATGAGGAACGGTGACCCAGAGAGCTGGGGATTTAATTTAATACATCTCACATAGGCCTGGGTTTGTTGTCTGATTTATTAAAAGATAGCAGCACAATTTTTGGTGGGGAAAAAAAAATGCCATCTGTGTACTGGGCACTATAAATCTGAAAGGGTAAAGGGATGCTTCAGCACATGGTGCACTCAGACCCCTTAATTGCATTTCCTAAAAGCCTTCTTGGTCTCACACTGAGCTGGAGAGGGGAGCCTCAGCAGGCAGGTGATCTCTGTAGTGCCTGCAGGAGCATCATCCTCATCTACTACCCTAGAAAGGGTTTTAATGAAGCCTCCTAGCTTTAAATGCAGACCCTGGGAAGAGGAGGGAAAGAGATGAGGGGATGGGAAATGTCCTCTTCCAATCCTTCTGGATGGAGAAAAAAGACAGGGTAAGGACTGGCGTATTGCAGAGGTGAACAAGGATTTAAGAGACAAACTGATCATTAATTAGATCTGCAAAAATGGAGTAAAATGAATAATGGTTTTCTATCTGGCAAATGAGCCTCTTTGCTCTGCAAAGAGGGACTGTACAAAAACTGCTTTGCAAGCCCAGCAGGAGGGTGTGAAACTGTCTTTGGAGGGAACAGAAGTGCAAATGATGGAGCAAAGTTCCTGTGGGACAAGGGCATTGGAGCTCTTTGGGATTGGACTGACTAACGGGGAGGAGATTGGTGAGGACAGGAAGGTGGGGGTTAATTAAGTTGAAAGCCGTAGCAAAACAATGGAACATCTTCCTCCAAGGAAAGGAAGGAGTGAGGGAAGCAGAAAAAGGAGGAATAACATCAAGTTGTATGTACTAAGGTGGAAAAAAAGACTAGGAACTTGTCTTTTACAGACTACATCCGTAAAAGAATAGTGTGACTGTGGAGGATTAAAATGAGAAAAAACAGGGGCAAAATGAGTTTCAATTAGGAAGGGATATAGAGGGCGATAAAAGGATGCTCTGTAACGATATTGAAATAGGAGGAAGGCAATGGAAATTATATATAACTGAATTAATGGAAAATGAGAGAACAGGAATAACAACAGAGAAAAGACTGGAGCATTCATTAGTTTTTATGCTTTAGCTATGGAGAAAAATAAAATATTTTAAAAAAAGATTATGAACTGGTATTTATCAGGACCACTTTTACTGCAGAGGATAAGACAATCCAAACTAGCAAATAAACACTGCTAAAATCATTCAGAGAAGTTAGGCAAATTCAAGTCAGCAGGACTGGATGAAGTTCCCTCTAGAGCACTTCAGGCACTGGGCAGAGCAATCTGACTCATGAGTAATTATCTGCAAGAGCTCATGGAGAAGGGAGGCGATCCCAGAGGATGTGAGAAGGGCAAACACAGTGCCTGTCTTTAAAGAAGGGGAAGCAAGACTTGGGGAACTACACAGCAGCCAGTTCAGCATGTAATGCAAAAACTGTAATACAATAAACTGTGCAATGATCTCTTTGTGAGCATTTGACTGACAATAGAAAAACATACAGTCAGTCAGGCTTGATTTGTCATGGAGGAGTGATGTTAAAACCATCCAGTTTCCATCCTTGAACTCAACAACTGTGCTGTAGAATAAGGAAGAGGGAGCATATGTCATGTATTTTGAAAGAAGCAGAGTTTTAACACCATTTCACATGACATTTCCGTAAGCTGACCAGGAACTATGATCTCTGTGAAATCATCTTAAGACATACTTGACAGAAAATAAACGTATTCACATAAGAATTACTAATTCCTTTCCTTTGGATTTAGAAGGTTTTCCAAAAGGGCTCCCTCAGGGTTTGCTCCTGGACCTGATTCTAATATTTTCATTAGTGATTTGGAAGACAAAATAAAGACTATATAAATACTCCAGAGAATGTGTTCCAAAATGTGGCTGGGAAATTTGAGTAATAATATAAAATCAACCAGATTTGGTAAGGTAAAAGGCAACAAAATATGTCAATGCAAAGTGGTAAGATGCTGGTCAAGCAGGCATTCAATAAAAAAGAGCTGTGAAAGAGGCACTGGTGAGGACACAGCTGTTGCAAAATACAGCAAATCTTATTCTGGAGCATATGAACAAGAGGAAAACATCAGAAGCAATGATTCCACTCTAACAAGGAAATACCAGGTGGGGATTTGGATGCTGTGCTAGGAGAAGGTAGAAGAATGTCAGACAAATCATACAGGGGCTGAAGGAAAGCAATGAGAATGATGAGTGGTTCAAAACAATTGGAGGATTTTCGTTGCTTTTTCCAGAAGGGAAAAACATGTGAGAAGATGAAAACTGCCTTCAAGGTATAGAAGACTTATAAAAAGGTTATTGACAATTGTTCTGGGTCCCACAGAAATAAATTTGCAAAGATTGTTGTTACTGGATAGCTGGGAAAGAAGAAGACTCCACAAATTAAACTCAAAAGCTTTCTAATTCAAAGCAAATTTCTTTGAATTATAATTTCTAAATCAATTTGTAAGTATTTTTCTCTGGAAGTTGATCAGCTTCTCTCAGGGATGTTTGGATCCTGCTCAGGGCACCAAGGAAAATTCGTGGTCTTTCTCCATCTCCTCTGTTCCATGACTGTCTCCTCAAGGTGTGACAGTGCTTCCATCTTCCCCATGCCTGACCAGAATGTGAAATATTGATGCTAATCCTGTGTTTGCACTTTAGCAGAGCTTCAAACACTCTGTTGGTGTTAATTAATTATCCAACAACAGCAGGAAGCCAGTGATACCAAATGCAGCACAGAGATTCCCTGACCAATAACAAAAGCAATCCTTCCTCCTGTGCATTGCAGAGCTCCACCAATTCTCTTCCCTAATGCACCACAAGCAGAATGAAGAGCCTCCTTTTCTGCAGACCTCCCACAGACAGCATGTGGCTGCTGGGGCTGAATGTGGTGATGAGGTCCTTGCTCCTGAGGGCTCCAAAAATTCAGGAGCATGCTGGAGAGCAAAGAAGCCATTCAAAAACACACGTTGCATGCCAGGGAAACAGTGTGTTCCTCACTTTTCCCTAAAAAGGAATATCTAATTTGTGAATAAAGGAAAAATACATGGATAAAGTTTGCCAGAAGTGTTGTTCAAGAGGAGCAGGTGGTGAGGAAAAAGGAGGAGGACGTTTGCAGGCTATATTCCTATCTGGAAGAAATATACTTTCTCTGAACTCTAGGAAGATTATGAAACAATCTGCTGGATGTCTCTGGGTAGTGATAAAGGAAAAGAGAAATCAAACAAAACCAGGAGCAGTCTCATGGTAGAGTCCATTGTACTTCAACTAATGAAAAAAGGGAGATAGAGGAGCATGTTTTTTGAAAAAGAAAGCAATTATGTAATAAACAAGTACTGGTGGACTTGAAGGAAAATGATAAGTCAAGGATATTGTGAATTTTAAAGTGAGAAAAAGGAGAGAAAAAAAAAAGGGAAAAGAGACTAAGACAAGAGGAGGAACTTTAGACTTTGATTGATGTTAAGCACGTCCCTCAGGGTCTTAGGGAATTTTCTGGTACTCTGAACATGTTGCCTTCCTCCTTGTTAGACTTACACCAAGTTCTGAATGATCAGATGGCAGGGATGGGTTTCTGTGGGCATCTCTTTTCTTGTAAAGCACTTTGCTTCCTCCATAAAAGTAGCATGACTACAGACTGAACTTCTCAGTGAAGCATGAATTTGAGGAGGGAAAGATATCCATCCATATTTTTAGACAGGGCAACTAGTCAGTTCAGCTGGTCAGGCAGCATGGAGAGACCCTAGTGCCTATGAACCTGCTGCTGTATTTTACCTTGAATATTTAATAAAGGCACGGTACCAAAGATTTTCAACTTAAATATCACTTTATGGATCTTGTATGATGCTCATGGCATCCCCACCCAGCAACTAAATAATTCCTGCTTGCAGGAGGATGATACAGAGACCAGGAATTCAATAATGTATATTTAGTAAATTTTGATGCTCCTTAAAGGTGGGACCCCTTTGTTCACTGGGGAGATGAGGTGTGAAATCAGTGTTCATATAGTCTCTGCACCTCTCTGCTTGGTCGCTGGGCTGGCTGCAGCTACTGCACTTCTCATGTTGCTCAAGAGGTGCATGAGGAAATGATCAGAGAGGGTAGGATGTGGTTAAAGCCTCAGGTTGCTAACTGGGGCTAATGTGAGGGAAGCGTATTATGTCTCACATCCATTAAGGCCTCCAGCAATCACCTCCCACGAAGGCAAAGGAGCAGCAGAGAAGGAATTGTGACTTCCTGAATCCCAGCAGCTCCTAGAGCTGCTCCGTTAATATTCAATTATGTGCTGCCCTGGACTTGGAGCAGCTTAGAGCTGAACTACATCTCACTCCAGCCCTGAGGCTCAGCTGCAGCAAACACAGCTGCAGGAGGCTGAGCCACGGAGAGCAACAGCCCCAAAACAGGGTTATCACACCTCCAGCCGCCAGTGCAGAACCCACACTTAGGAGGAACTGCTCTGTCCACCCCTGCTCTCTCTAGCTCCCTTCTCCAGGCTGTGAGACTTTGGGGAGCTGGTTATTCTGTGAGCTGTGGCTGGGGTCATCAGATTCGTTCCCCTGTTTTTTATCCTGGATGTGCCAATTGACCACAGAATGCTCTGCATGCACTTCCTTCTGCATCTCACACCATGCAGCTTCTGCTGTGGCTTTTCCTTCATCTCATCCCCCTGCTCTGAAGTGTGTCCCGTCTTCATTGACCCACCCACCCTCTGATGAGTCCCTTCCACTTCCAGATCATGGTATTAACTTGACATTTGCAAAAGGTCACTGTGTTTGCTCTGCCTGAGTGTTATATTGCTCCCTCTTTTGTTGTTCTGCTTTGTAAGCTCTTGAAGGCAGAGGTTATCTTCTTGGGTGTGACTACACAGTGGCCAGGAGAACGAGGCCTCTGGTCCCAGTTGGTGTCTAACAGCTAAACCAGAAATAATAACTTGCTCATCGATGGAGAGGGTGACTCCAGTTTTATAGATTATTCATCAGAGGACAATGAATCTTAATTTATATGCAAAAATCTTCCTTCCAGAAGAAGTCCATAAGCAGGATCGCAATTAATGTCTTAATTTCAAAGACTACCAGCATCAGATCCCTGCTGTATTTCCAGGAGTCCGTTCAGACCACGTGGTACTGCTGGAGCATATGCCATTTGCTGCAGGAACAAATGTGGGACATAAGGGAGGTGACACACAATACATACTTTGTGCATCCAGTTTATGCAGATGAAGTCCTGGCTTTTTTTAGCCTGGAGTTTGTCACGCTGGAGCTGTTAGTTGCATCAAACTAATTGCAATGGAGATGAACACGTATGGTACGTGCAGCATCAGGGTGTCCCCCCTCCAGTGGCTGCTCCCAGAAAGGTGTAGCTGGTGGAGAAAGGACACATAAATTAATCCTTTGCTCTCAGGTGAGAATGGATCTGATCCTGTCTGTAGTCCTGACCTGACCAGCATTCCCTGAGGTGAACATGAAGGGCTGGAGCTCTCCCATCTCCGTTAGGCAGCTAGGAAAGCTCCAGCCAAGGTAGAGACCCAGCACTATCCATGAGGAGACACCCCAGGCTTGGCTCTTCTCAAACATAAACCAATTCTGAGCCTCAGCTACAGCCAGGCTATGCCAGAAAGGAGGGTGGGAGAGTGAGGCTGTCAGATGCAGTAGCCTGAAGCCTGTGGTTGAGGCTGCTCTTCACCTGATGCTGGCATTGCAGAGGAAACGCATCCACGTCTGGAAGATGTGCGGGTGGGGGATCTTGGCCTTTAGCTTTAGTGCCAAGAGCAAAATGGCACCAGCCTGCCAGCTGTGCTGGCTTTAGGAACAGCCTGACCTGCTCCTCTGCCATGGTTTGTTTTGGAACTGACACAAAAGCTAAATCGTTCCCCCAAACAATGTACAGCCATTCCCAGGTATTAACTTTTCTGTTGCTTATAGTGATATTCTTTAAATTTCCCTGTTATTTTGCCTTGAAAACAGCTCCTTCCTTGAGTTAGCCCTGTTCCTCTGCTTCTCCATTATATCCCTTGCCAGCCAGAGAAAACTGTACTAGGCAGGATCAGGCAGCGCTGTGGCTCAGAGTCACTACACAGAGATTAATTGCCTGCCACGGGTGGGTTGGTGGCTTGAAGGTGGGTGCCAACCCGGAGGCGTTAGGGCTGAGTTCTGCTTCAATTCCTGATCTGAGTCTCTCCCTCCTGCCCGTGTGCACCTTGCAGGAATATAACTGAGTTTGAAGTATCTGCTTCCTCCCAGATTCATTTGGAATTCATTAATGGGTTCAGAAGCTTTTGGGAGAGGAGGATGGACACATACCTGCACAGAAAAGTAGCGCAGCAGAACCTTTATTTCCTTAGGGAGGCAGCCTAAAGAAATATTAGCATTTATTCTCATCTGTTGCTGAGCTTACGACCCACACAAATAACAGGGAATAGCGAGCGAGCAGCCGGCTGCAGAATGGGAACAGGGAAAATGACTCAGCAAGCTTGGCACCAATCTGGAGAAAATGCAGGTACATTATAACCTTGCTTGAGCATCAATCTCATCTGTGACGTGACATAGAAACAGCAGCCAGTATAGATATTTGGATTTGATAGAAACATTCCTTCTGATAAATGATTTAGCTCTGCTCTTGCAAGTAGTTATATCCAGAAGCAGAGCAGGTGAGAAGCTGCCTTCATAGATGCCAGCAAAAGAAAGGAAAAAGTTCAATGAAAACCTCTCACTGCTTTATAAATACACATTTTTTCTTCTGCTATCAGTTGACAAATAGCTGCTGAATTATAATTTCATGCTTTGTTCATGTCATTTTCCCCAAGAACAGTATTTCCTGCTACATCACCTTAGAAACTTGATCAACAAACACTCTGCTTTACATGTAAACAAAGCTTTATTCTATCCTATTTTTGATAGCAGCCAGCATTTTAGAAACCAGAACGTTTCGGGTTCTCTGGGCTATTTGCCTCAATTTCACAATTTGATTTTGGTTTTGAGGGCCTGTCAGCATTGTTTATACCCAGATCTGTTGGAGTAGTGATGTTTTTCTGTGAGTGGCAAGGAAAATATATTGCTGCAAATTGCTGTCTGGAATCAGATTTTTTTCTCTTGAGAGTCTAAATGAAACTGCACTTTTTAACACATGGGAACTAAAAAGCTAAATTAATTCGAAAGAGAAGTGAAACAAGAAAATTCAGTGTCAACAACAAAAATGGATCTAAAGAAGCAAAGACAACTCTGACAATTAAGCAGGACCATCTCCAAAACTCAAGCTACAATAAAATCTAGGAGCGTTATCACCAACCGAGCACCTGAATAACTCTGCAGGGTCCTTTAGCCATTTCCTTGTGTAATAACATCAGATCTTGTCCTGACCTCATGACAAGGTCTTTCTTTTTAACTGTGGAAAAACAAGATCAGAGCCCTATAAAGTTTTCTCACTTGGTTTCATTAGATGAGCATTTCCCAGGTAGCTACTATGAAAAAACAAATTAATCCAATGGCAAACAGGGGATTTTATCTGGCAGTTTTAAAAAACTTGCACAGGAGCCCCAGCTACTGAGCCTCCTGTGATCTGCCACCATATGAAGACAGAGTGCATCAGTTAGGGATTAATATTAAGGCAGATATTAAAGCCTATCACATGATGAAGGATTTTCCTATATGTGGACTTCAATGGGATGCTTTAAATCCTGTGAGTGTGCATGGATATGCACGTGTATGTACACACCGGTGTTTATTCATGGGCAGACACAGCCTCAGGCTTCTTCAGGCCTTTCCAAGGAACATAAATTTGGGAGGGGGGACAGAGAGAGAGAGAAGAGTCATCTTTAAACCTCACATTTTTGAAAGTAAGTTTTTGAAGGAGACAGGCTGAGGAGGAGAGAGCCAAGATCGTAAAGATTTTATAACTAACAACATTTTTTAAGAGGAGACAGAATCTCTGCTCTTTTTTAGTGCAAGATCTTGCAATAATTTAAAGCAAATTTGGGAAATAGCTGCCTTTTGACAGAAATGCTTCATTTTCCTTTTCTGCTGGGCTGTAACCTAGAGCATCTTGGCTTGAGAAAATGAAATAAAGCTGAGCGATGATGCGCTGTCACTGCTGCTGCCGCCACTCTGCCTCCTGCAAATCTCCCAAAATCATGGACAGCCCTCCAGGTCAGAGCACAGGAAGGCATTCTCCTTCCAGGCTCGATCCTGCACCAGACAAACTTACCCAGGGCTTTGTAAAACACGGCCGGGGTTTGCAGCGAGTGGCTCTGCCCGAGGTGCCGCTTCCAAGGGTTGGTGTGGAGAGGAAACTCTTCCCATGACACAGCAGAACAGCAACAGCAGCAGCAGCAGAGTAAAACAGATCAGTTCTGGCAGTACTCCTAAAAGACTACTTTAAATCCCAGCTCCAGCCTCTTCCTCCTTTAAGGATGATCTGAAGAAGGGAATACGGAATAAAAAGAGGCTTAGTGAGGCAGGGAAAGGAGGCCCAGAGATACGGGAAGCAAGGCAAATTGTACTTAGGCTCCACAGCAGTGGGACAGCCTGGATAAACGGCAGAAAGGAGCCCAGAGAGGAAATTCCCCCAAAATTGGATGGGAAAGAGAGATAAACATAAACAGAGTGTAGGGTGGATAGAAGGAAGACTGAGAAGAAGTAAGGAAAGAAGGATGAACTGCTCCTCAGTCTGTTAACTCTTTTCAGCTAAAATCATTAGTAATTTTTACAAAACTAAAAAAAAAAAATTAAAAAAATTAAAAAATAATAGTAGAGATATCTGAAACACTGATCTTTTAAATACAGAGCCCATTGCATGGGCACCTGGAAATGAGTGGGGCAAAGAACAGGTATTTCAAGTCCAAAGCACAAATGGGAGAGCTAAGGGAGATGATCCACTGTCCCTGCAGAATTGGGCCTGTGCCGAGTGGCCGGGTGGCTCCAGTCCCCTCCAGTGGCTGACAGCCATCATCACCAACCCAGCAGCTGGAAAAAAGTCGTTTATATTACTTCCTTAAAGAAAACGTGGTGGGACATAAAAAAATTAAATCCCCAACTTAAAATTTACTGCATTTGTGGATCATGCTTTTTTAATCTGTTGAGGGGCTGATGGAGGCTGTAAGGAAGGAGTGAATGCGGGATTGCTTTTCCTCCTTCAGTTTTAAACAACAAATCTATCTCCTTCTTCTCAGTCTAGCCCCTAAAGCCTTGCACTTGATTACCAACATCGATGTGATGCCACCAGTTAAGGAACAGAATTTGGAGGCCTCCTGCAGGAACCTTCCATGGGGAAAACCCCCAGAGCCCCCTGCGCGTTGTCAGCCCGGTGGTGGGACCGTGGAACGGGTGGGCTTCAGCTCCCTGAACCCAAATCCTGGGGGCTGGTGGAGAGCAGGGAATAAAACCCACTTCAGCACCGAAGGCGGAACAGCAGCCGGAGGAGCGCGGCGCTGCCGCCGGCCGGCCCCGAACCCCCGGCGGCTGCGGCCGGGCAGCGAGATGCGCGGGGAACCGGGGGCTGTCCGAACCACGGGTAATTGTCGGCATCTTCCCCTTTTCTTTCTGTGAGGGCTGGCTGCTTGCTGGTAGTGTTGCAGTGGCCAGCGCACATCCCTAGAAGCGGCTCCTTCCAGCAGCTCGGCACAGAGCCGGCTGTCGGGAGCCGGCGGTGCGACGGGTCGCGACGGCGAAATCGCTTCGCTACCGACCGGCAGAGTTAAACGCGGCGGTAGCGATCACCGCATCGACCCCGCACGGGCAGAACCGCTCACATCTGCTCCTCTTCCCTCCGACACAAACAAGAGGTTTTTCCGCCTTATTTATTTTGGTTTTTTTTCTTTTGGTTGATTTGGATTTTTTGTTTTTTCTGCCGCTTCCAGAACCCGACTCGCCGCGGCCGCAGACGAGCACCGGATCCCGCAGCCTCCAGGAGCGGGGCCCATCCTTCCGCACGGTGCCTGCCCGGCCGTTTATTCCCCGGCTATTCCTTTCTGCGAAAAGAGAAGGGGAAAAAGCAAGAAAAGACCAAAACAACCTAAAACACAAACACCAAACCAACCCCTAATAAATAATAATAGAAGAAGGAAGCGCAGCAACTTGCTTTAAGCAAAGGGCGGAAGGACCACGGAGCGCAGCCCCCCGGGAAGGGAGGTAGCGGAGGGAGCGCAGCCCCCCGGGAAGGGAGGTAGCGGAGGGAGGGCAGGCGGGCACCGGCAGGGCTCGCAGCCCCACGGGGGTACCGGCAGGTCCGGCGGCGGCGGACGTGAAAGTCCCCTTTAAGTTTCCATAGAGAGGCCTCCGGGTGTCACATGATGGACATGATATAACGAAACAACATCGTGGGGAGGGACGGAGGGAAGCAGTGGGGGAGCCCAGGGAGGCGGCGGTGCCCCCCGACCCGCCCGCCCCGGTTGCACCTGTCTCGGCGCGCCGGGAGCGCGGTGTCCGCCCCGCTGATGGGGCTGCGGGCGGCACCTTCCCCCGGGGAGGAGGAGAAGGAGGAGGAGGAGAAGGAGGCGAGCCGGTGGCGAAGGTAAGTTACCGGCGGGACCGGGGCGGGGGGCGCAGGGTGCGGGCGTGGTGTGTGCGCCGAGGGGATGCGGGGTCTGTGTGCGCGGGGTGTCCGCGGTGTCCCCGCGGAGCGCCGGGTGTGTGCGCGCCCTCCCGCCCTCCATGTCCGCATTCCAGCTCATGTTGCGCAGATAAAATTCAAACTTGAGGTAAACACAAGCGGCGGGGGGGGGCGGACAGGGAACTCGGGAGGAGGGAGGCTCGCTCCATCCCGGCTTCATCCCGGTTCCATCCCGGCTCCTGCCACCCCCTCCCCGCCTCTCCCCCCGCTCCGCACCCGCGGAGCCCCCGCGCACCTGGCGGAGCGCCGGCACCTCGCTGCTTCCCCCGGTGAGGGAGAACCGAGCGTCCCTTTCCCCGCACCCCGGTAGGACAGGGCGGGTCGGGGGCTGGGGGGTTCGCGGCGCGGCAGGTGCGCGGGGTGCTGTCGCGACATGGCGGGGGGGGGTGGGGAGTGTGTGCGCG